TCACCCGGTGTGGCCCACACACCCCTAGGGACACCACTGATCCCTGCTAGTCCAATCCACAAAGAGAGATGGAATGAGATTCAGATTCATCCTTTATGTTATGATTTGGAGATTCTGATCCAACCCAAACGCAATAAGTAGGAATCGTCTCATGTCACTTTTATACTTTACTGTATATATTTATGTTTCCATGTCCAATGTAGTGCATTTTTTATACTAATGAATAAAGTTACGCAAAAAGAATCAGCTGGTTATCCAAGGGTCAAAGACTACCCTGCCTCTCTCGTTATGTTTTTACATTATTTCGGATGCCTCAAACATTCACAAAAGGCCCAAACTATCGCATCATGTCATCGGAATGAAACAAATGAATTAGTTGTTTTCATTATAATGTCTATTGGATTAGCTGAAATTCATTACTATTGTGACTCTGTGATTCAGATACATCCAAATCTCTGAATAACGAAAAATCCAAGTTCATAATGAAACAAATCACACATGTCTAGTACTGGAGATGTGTAGAATTTAGAACATGCAGCACAGCATACAGTGTAGAGTTGTGTAGAGTCTGTAATGTACAGTGCAGTAAACAGTGATCAATAAAATGTTCAGCATAGTATACCAAGTAGAGATGTGTGGAGTATAATGGATACATGCTCATGTGCAAAATAGAGTGGTATATAGTAAAAAACATATCATTCCTACAACAGAACCTATAGTGTGATAAGTACTAGTGTTCTTGTTTCCGCACAGACTATGTAGGAAGAAATCATGAAAGTATCGCCCTGTCCTTGGATAGAGGGGGCAGATGGCAACTATAGGTGTGCCTGGCACTCAGGTAGTCCACACTTCTTGCTTGCCAGTGTCTAGTAGACCTGAGAGTTGTTGATGCCAGGTAATGTGCACATTTGACAACTGTAAAGCAGTGCAGCTAACAGTGGATGTACTGCACTTCTGTTTGGAACCTGTTTAGATGTAGTGCCTGTGGGCTGCACCATTCACCCTGTCACAGCAATAATCACTACCATCAACATAGCAAAAGCCTCCTATTCAGGAGAGCTACAAGGCTTTTGGGGCACTACAGACCAGGAGGTCTACAGCACCAAGACTGGAGTCACATTTTACTGTTTCTGAAGCATATTTTAGAGTGCTTTACCTGTGCTAAAATATGCAAAAATAAAAGAAAACACCTAAAACACACCTCTGAGCACATTGATCCATTATAATGTGCATTCAAGTTTATGCTTAGCCAAAATGTTATTTTTAATATTTTATTTTTTTGTGTACCATTTGGGAAACTTCGCTTCAATTCCTGTCCCAAAAATACAACAGTAAGTTGGAGGAAATCCCCCAAAGTGAGGGAAATTCCCCTTTTAGAGAGTTTTTCCTAATACATGTGTCCTCATTGAAAAATTTAATTTTGGATTTATCATCAATTTCTTTCTTGACAACAATGGTCACCAGCACAAAGAGGGGTCAATTTACCTAATATCAATACAGACAGAATGAAAATAAAAAAAACTTTGATCCCTGGTTCACACTGATGTGGTGCGGAATTTGCAGCGTTTTCAGTGTGAATTCCACACCGTATCAGAATCATACCCCGTTCATGAGAACCGCTGCGGGTGTGTATGTTAAGTTAACAACACCCCAAAAGCGGTCCACAAAACGTGGGTCCACAAAACGTGGTACGATGTGCAGAATCGGATCGCATAGGTGTGAATACCCATGTGATCCGATCCTAGTGCGGACCAAAATGGTTTCAATCGCAATGCACACAAATCGCATGTGATTTGCACAGGAATGCCGTGCGATTCCTGTACGAATCACATGCGATGTACCACACCGCATATATTTGAACCCAGGCTAAGGGTCCTTTCACACGGTCAGACTCCACCAAGCAGATCCACCTGTTCAGCAGGGGATCTATCCGCTGATCCTCACTGAGCAGGAGGATGACGGGTCAATGTCCCCTCCGCTTGTGCAGAGCAGGCACAGGTAAAGCCCGCTGTTTTATATGGGGTGGTTGGATGTAAATGAACGACTTGTCCATTTACATCTGACTGTCATCTGATCCGCTAGACAGATGGGGAATGGATCCTCATCTGTCTGTTTTTAGCGGATTAGATCGGATTGGATGCAGGCGGGTATAAACGGATACAGGTCCATTTACATCCACCTCCCCTTATAGAACAATGGGTTGTCTGATCAGGTCCACGAGAAAAACGAACAGGCCGACCAAATCGATCTGCCAGTGTGAAAGGGCACTAAAGAGGTTCTAACCCTTCCCCATTCTATCCAAAAGCAAAAAAAAGGTTTTGCCTAAAAATAAACTTAAGGCTGGCCGTACTGTACATGGATTGAAATTCTGCTGGTTCAGCAGTTATTGGATGAATTTCAATACATGTATGGCCACTCTGGTTGAACAGAAGTTGATCTACTGATTTTAGAGGCTTGATCAGTGCTGTAGGCTATAATGTTGATCTCTGTATTCTTAGGGCAGGGAAGTCTCCCCACTGTCAGAATACAAGGACACAGCAGGGAAAATTCCCCATCTGTCTTGAATGTGTGGATAGGGAAATCGGGTCAATTTTTTTGTTCAGTTCGCTGTTTGAATGAAACAAAAACAGACTCATCTATGGCCAGCTTTATGAAGCATCACTATGAGACTGGATAATACAATAATGTTTTAAAACCCAAATGTTTTAGCATGTCTTAAATCCACCGTTCTATGCACCTACAGTATCTCACAGAAGTGAGTACACCCCTCACATTTTTGTAAATATTTTATTATATCTTTTCAAGTGACAACACTAAAGAAATGACACTTTGCTACAATGTGACTACACTGGAAGTTCAACATGGCACCTCATGGCAAAGAACTCTCTGAGGATCTGGAAAAAAAGAATTTCTGCTCTACATAAAGACGGCCTAAGCTATAAGAAGATTGCCAAGACCCTGAAACTGAGCTGCAGCACGGTGGCAAAGACCATACGGCAGTTTAACAGGATAGGTTCCACTCAGAATAGGCCTTGCCATGGTCGACCAAAGAAGTTGAGTGCAAGTGCTCTGCTTCATATCCAGAGGTTGTCTTTGGGAAAAAGACGTATGAGCGCAGCCAACATTGCTGCAGAGGTTGAAGGGGTGGGGGCTCAGCCTGTCAGTGCTCAGACCATACACCTCATCAAATTGGTCTGCATGGCTGTCGTCCCAAAAGGAAGCCTCTTCTAAAGATGATGCACAAGAAAGCCCGCAAACAGTTTGCTGAAGACAAGCAGACTAAGGACATGGATTACTGGACGTCCTGTGGTCTGATGAGACCAAGATAAACTGATTTGGTTCAGATGGTGTCAAGCGTGTGTGGTGGCAACCAGGTGAGGAGTACAAAGACAAGTGTGTCTTGCCTACAGTCAAGCATGGTGGTGGGAGTGTCATGGTCTGGGGCTGCATGAGTGCTGCCGGCACTGGGGATCTACAGTTCATTGAGGGAAACATGAATGCCAACATGTACTGTGACATACTGAAGCAGAGTATGATCCCCTCTCTTCGGAAACTGGGCCACAGGGCAGTATTCCAAAATAATAACGACCCCAAACACACCTCCAAGATGACCACTGCCTTGCTAAAGAAGCTGAGGGTAAAGGTGATGGACTGGCCAAGCACATCTCCAGACCTAAACCCTATTGTGGGGCATCTTCAAATGGAAGGTGGAGGAGCGCAAGGTCTCTAACATCCACCAGCTCCGTGATGTTGTCATGGAGGAGTGGAAGAGGACTCCAGTGGCAACCTGTGAAGCTCTGGTGAACGCCATGCCCAAGAGGGTTAAGGGTTTGCTGGAAAATAATGGTGGCCACACAAAATATTGACACTTTGGGCCCAATTCGGACATTTTCACTTAGGGGTGGACTCACTTTTGTTGCCAATGGTTTAGATATTAATAGCTGTGTGTTGAGGGGACAGCAAATTTACACTGTTATACAAGCTGTACACTCACTATGTCACATTGTAGCAAAGTGTCATTTCTTCAGTGTTGTCACAGGAAAAGATATAATAAAATATTTACAAAAATGTGAGGGGTGTACTCACTTCTGTGAGATACTGTATATCTATATAGTGGTGTCATCAGGCACCTCATTCATGTGTGTTTATGTGTGTTGCTACAGTAGCTCAGTGAAAGTCATGTGAAAATCCACTCAGAAAAGCTCCTCAGCATGTGGCCCGCCTTTTGTTCAATAATCATTTTAGTGAAGGCAGAGCAGACTGCAAAGCGGGCTCTGTGAGCATCTCCCCTCTGGCTATCCACAGGAGACAGTGTATAGTGTAAAGGAAAATAGAAGGAATAATTTATTCTTACATGATTGTCACAGATTTGATGTACTGTTCTTGGATTCACCAACTAATACAGCATAGAGGGGTAAACATTAAAGTGGTTGTAAACCTCTGACATGAAAGGTCAAAGCATATTTCTCTATAATGTGTACTCGTCTCAATCCAGAGCACAAAGAGTCATTTCTGCCTGCTGCTTCATTCCTCTGCTATCAGCATGAGTAGATTCCGACAAGTTTTCCTGACACCAAGAGAAAAATGGTGACAGGGAAGAGAGCTCCAGCAGATTGACAGCCTCAGTTCTGTTCCTGGGAGCTGTGTGAAGGGGGGTGTGTCCCTTCCCTCCAATCAGCTCTCAGAGTACTCTCCTCACTGAGCTCTGCAGTGTGTAATTTCAGCTCTCTGCCCCCTCTTTTCTGAACTCTCAGACAAGCTTTATAAGTGCAACACTCTGAAGGGATGTAGAGGAGAGAAGACTGCAGATAAACAGGTACAGCTTATGTAGGAGGATTTGTTTCATCTCTGTGTATCACTTGAAGTCACTTCACTGGGTATATGTAAGGCTGGCCATACACTATACAATTTTCTGTCCAATTTCTGCCCAATTTCCTTTAGATTTACCTTCAACTATGTAGTGCAAGAGCCTGCCTAATTGGATACAATTGAAACTGTTGTTAGGTTTGACCTCCTATTATATGGTTTTTGATAAATCTAAACCAAAAATATCAAGAAAATTGTATAATGTATGGCCAGCCTAAGGGTTTACAACTACTTTAAGTGGCAGAAGATGTAGCATGTTAAAGTGGCACTGAACCCATCAATTTATTGGTCTCAAAAACAGTTCCATTGCTGGCATGCCAGGAATGCTCACTGTCACATTTGCTTGTGTTCTCAACTGTCAAACCATCAAATGGCTGGATCATAACTAATGACATGTGCAGCATTATGACAATTACAGATCAAACAGATTCCTTGACAGAAAAGGATAAGAGGTTTTTTCCGCTTTAACAGGATACACTGCTTGCAAAGTTAAGCGAAACCCTACATTTGCAAAGGGTTTGGCGAATCCTGTTTGTAAATTTGGAAAGCCTAAACACAGCAGCAAATTCCACTGAAGTCTATGGGGGGGAGGGGAAATGGGGGTTGAGGTAAGTCCTGTTTGTTAGTTCAGGCTATCTTTAAGGCTAATAGGGCAAAGCAGACATATATTTGTCCTGCCATGGGGATATTAACCAATGGCAAAAACAAAAAAAACAAAACACCGTTCAGTGGCCAAAAGGTCCTTTTCATGTGACTTTCAGGGCCAAATACAAAATTGCAGACTTTGAGAGTGTGGGGTGTTACAAAACAAGGAGGGCGATTTACTAAAACTGGTGCACTCGAAATCTGGTGCAGCTGTGCATGGTAGCCAATCAGCTTCTAAATTTAGCTTGTTCAATTAAGCTTTGACAATAAAACTTGGATGCTGACTGGTTTCTGTGCAGAGCTGCACCAGATTTTGTGCTCTATAGTTTTAGTAAATCTCGCCCAATTGTCAGAGACAGCTTCAATGACAGTGCCTATTTGATTTTGGTATTTAATTTTTTTCTTTTTCAATTAGCTTGGCATACATACAGCAGCACCCTAAAAATTGGTTAACAGTCTGCTGAGGCTGTCCCTGTTCTAACTAATGCCCTACTACAGACTAACGTTAATTACATTTTAAAAGTTAGGAAACAGCAGCTGTTACAGCAGTGTACAAAATTGTCACTTCCAGGGCAGTTTTAATGAGCAAGGCTAGGCCAAAATGCACAAGAGATGCAGCGCACAGTCAGGTGTTGTTTCACAAGAATTAAGACAACACAGATGATAAAGCAGTGTAAAATTGACCAGCGGCAGAACAGTTTTCAGGGAAAATAGGAGTAACCTGTGCATACCTATTTTTTATTTCAATTGTAAGGATAGGGGGAGGGATGACTGTGAGTTATAAAATGTGAGCTGTTTTAGATGCACACTGTTTTTCCATGGTTATTATTATTATACAGGATTTATATAGTGCCAACAGTTTGCTGAGCGCTTTACAATATAAAGGGAGACAATACAGCAACAATACAGTTCGATACAAGAGCGATAGGAGGGCCCTGCTCCTTGGAGCTTACAATCTAGGAGGGAGGGGATGTTGTTTTCCTTGCAAATGTTGTAGTGTTATGCCCCCAGCAAAATGTAGCTCCAAGAACAGATGGTTAGCAACAAGTGAATGCTGCTCTTTGAGAACCCCAAACTAAAAAAAGACCACCCTATCAACATAAAATAAAAAACAATATTCCCCCAAAAGAAAGAACAAACAGAAAACACAACTCCCTAAAACAAACACTCACTTTTTTTTATGGGAAAACCTTGCAGCAAAAAAAAGCTATGGATGAGACAGGTGCTAAAAGAGACCACTGCCCTCAAATCATCCACAAATTCAAGACCAAGAAAGTCCTCAATAATAAGAACAAACTAGCAACACAAAGCAAAGCACAGTTTTCTAACTGATCCTTATGTCTGTCTCTGCAGTTTTTAGCTTTCCAGCAGCTTCATTTTAAATATTGACAATACTTTTTTTTTTTTGTTTACAAACGGTTTTATTTTGCAAAAGTAGACTGTAAAACAACAGTACATTTTCAAATGATACTTACAGCAAAAACAAGGCACTTTTGAAAAATACAATACAGAAAAGTATATTAACATAAGAAAAAGAAGAAATAGAAAAGAATAGATTGCAAGTACATGAAATATTAGACGATAAAGTAGGTTGAATGATACATCTGTCAACAGTATATGCCAGTCAACTTTCACTTGGAATGTTGTTAATCATGCAATAAATGTCTATAATCCCTCCATGATTCCCATTTTTTATCCATTGACAATGCTTTTATGAATGGTAATCAGGCTAATCCAAGGGCTCCCTTACTGGCCCTTTTAAGCCTGCTGGCCATGATTAAAAAAATAAATCACCAGGGTGAATTTGCACATAAATTAAGTTCAAACCAGCTGGATATGCCATGGTTGGGGTGAACCTCATTCCTAATTGTGAGCATAATGCCATTTTTTCCTATAATGTCACCAAGGGAATATGGCTACCCCTGCTCTGATAGCATGGTATCCATTAGGACACTTTGGCGGAAGACTGAAACTTGTGTCCATATGATTTTAGGACTAGGAAGAAGGCAATCATAATTGTTGTGGCCTTGTTGAGCCTCTTACCTTGCTGCAAGTTTACTAGGCAGAGTCTAACTAAAAGAAATAAACTGTCTGCAGTCTCTAATAAGGTCAGACACCCATAATATTCCTTCCATTTAGTTTTGATTACATCTACTATTTTCATTCATTAGTAGTGTAAATATTAAAATTAACATTTACATCACTCAAGCATATAAACAGATTTCATAATCTGCTTCAAAATCTGTTTCTAACTAGCTCACTCTTAATTCAAAACATACAGCCTAATGCCCCGTACACAGGATGAGAATATCGGACGAATGATCGGCCGTTTTTTTTTAGCCTGCTAGTCTCACATCGAAAGTGAAAAGGTTACTAAAGATACGCAAAATTCTATGAAAGAAAAGAATTTAGAAAGTGATGTCATGTATTGCGTTGTATTTGTATTGTATTTTCAGATGATTACTGTACTGATTAAACAAAAATTGTACAATCTGGTATCATACAAGAAAAATTTTTGCGCTTGTCACTTCAGAAATTGTCGTACAAACTGTCGGCTCTCGAAAGCTGTGTACTAACGATCCGATTATCGGACGATCGGTCCTCTTACGAATATTTTCGTACGATTTTCTTATAGTGTGCACAAGGCATAAGGAAACAGAACAGCCCTATTACTGAGATAACAATGTTGACTTTTTGTCAAAAGTCAACATGTAAGCCAGGGGTGTCAAGCTCCATTTCATCCATTATGGTTGCCCTCAAAGGGCCGGTTTTATCTGTAAGACTATATGTCCAGAGCACCCCACCCCCTACTACATCAGATGTCAAGAATCCCACACCCTCCCTAACATCACCGTGCCCCCTCTTTGGGGGCAGAGCTGGAAAGTAGAAAGTGCAGGGTCTGGAGGAGGACCAGAGGAGGAGTGGAGTCAGTTACCAGAGTCTGCTGAATGCTGAGACCAGAAGAGGCAGAGATGAGAGGGTGCCACAGCTGCACTGAGAGGTGCAGGATTTGGCAGAGGAGTTCTATTCTCCTCTCTGCTACCAACTGCTAAGACAAGGTGGGGGCGGAGACAAGGGGGTACCTGCAGGAGAGATGCAAGGGCCACATAAAATGGCCTGGAGGGCCAGATTCGGCCCACGGGCCTTGTGTTTGACTCCTGTGATGTAAGCCCTCATCTACATGTTTAGGCACTCTTCCTTGCGTCTGATGCATGCAGTGAGCAGTGATAGATGACTGTCATAGGGCTGATTTGCTTGCACCCACCATATTCCTAGGAATCACTGACGTCACAGAGAATCTCTGCCAATAAGCAAAGGGGCAGGGATAGCAGAGATATCACTGCCCATATTCAGGTGATGACATTAATGTCACCAATATATCCTGCCCCTTCTTTTGTATAGCTAATGAAAGCTTGGAAAGCTGTCATTTGGCTAGTGGCACTGTCAGGAACGGTGATGTGCTCTGGGTTGTGTTTTGTTTTTTTCTGCAAATCAGCAGGCATCGTGGTTGACAATGGATTTACGGGAAACTTTTGTTAGGATTTTTTTTTTTTTTTTTTTTAAAAGGACTTTTCAATTGTTTGGGGGGTCTTTATTTGTAGGCTACAATTCTGTTTTTTTTTTGTGAATGAGTAGGAGTACCTCTACTCATTTACATAGTGATGAGTGGTATCTGGGAGCCCCCTTATCATAGAAGAGGACTTTCAGATTTTGCTAAGCCCCCCTTTTACAGCCCCCCACAGCCAATGGTTAGGGTTGTACGGGCAGAGGCCCTTGTCCTCATCAACATCAGCATGTGGCCTGGTATAGTTCAGGAGGAGGGGGTGGACGCTCATCCCCCCTTTCCTGGCTAGCCAAGCTACATGCTTGGATTACGGGTCTGCCATTGATTTTAAGGGGGACTGCACACAATTTTTTGTGGGTGTAGAGCCCCCCTTACAAAAAATACCAGACCCCAAATATCTGTTATTAATTTCCTGGGGAACTCATGCACTTTTTTTTTTTTTTTTCTTCTTTTTTTTGTCAGACTAAAACTGGAGCGTGCAAAATCTGGTGCAGCTGGGCATGGTAGCCAATCAGCTTCTGCTTGTTCAAGTTTTGACAAAAGAAAAACTGGAAGCTGATTGGTTCTATGCAGAGCACTCTTCAGTTTAAGTAAATCAACCCCTTTGAGTCTGACAAAAAAAAAAAAAAAAAAAACACAACAAAAAAAAATGCATGAAGTCCCCCACTCTCCAGCTTTATTAAATCAACCCCAAAGGTTCTCAAAGGGACTCTACACAAGTTTTTTTCATTTTTGCTGTAGGATGTGCTGCAGCAAAAAAAGACATTTACAAAGGAATTCAAGTATACAGTTGCCAGCAAATTACATTTTGTTGTCAGTTTCGTAAAAAAAAAAAAAAAAAAACAGCACACAGTCCTCTCCAAAGGTCCCCCAAAATACACAGCAGAGTACTATTTGTTTTTAAAAAAAAAGAAGCCAGCAATGAATTGCTATTTGCTGGCTATTTAAAACATGCTTTCCTTTGTAAATGCCAGTGTTCATGTGTCCCTTCACAGACAGGATTAGGACACTCCCCCAGACA